TATATTTATATAAATATATAAATAAAGTTCTAATAATGACTTTTGTGGCTACAAAAAACTTTATTCTATTATTGGAAATATTAACTTACAGTTACACCAAGTACAGCTGATAATTGTTTAGCTTTATCTGATTCAAGCATACATGTATTTGAAACAAATACAATAGGTACATTGAGCTGAATCAATGTTTGAATTGCTGGTTTTGCAACTGTTATGAAATTAGGACCTTTTGTAATAACACCATCAATGTCAAAGAAACAGGCAAAGTTTGGCTATTAAAAGAAAAATACGTATTAATAAAAACAAATAAGTAAATTCAAATATTTATCTTACTGATTTCATAATAGAGATTGCTAGTATTAGTAAATACTCGCTAGTTTTATTTGAAGAAACAACTTTATAATAGACAATTTTTTTTTCTGAGTAAAACTGTGCAGATCGACAGTATTTATATACCGGTGTCGATAACAGCAAAGAGGCGAGAGAGTGATCAGCCTGTGATATCATGCTTTACATATTAAACTTCGTTGTTTTATTTTGCTCATGTGATCTGTTTGTGTTGTTCGTTAGTCAGACAATATATGCGTTCTTACTCAGAACATACGCTCAATGAATGATATTATTCAGTTATTGGTACATTTTTCTGTTCTCCTTCCTTCCAGAGTGCCATGATATTAGGAGTGAGGGTAGAGAAATAAAGAACAAAATAAACCATTTTTCTTTTTCTATTCTGTTGGAAGACAAAGTCAAGGACGAATTAAGTACTCCGTTCTATTTACTCATAGAGGCTACGCGTGCAAATAATATCGTTAATCAATTTCTATCTGAATGCACAAAAAACACAAGAAATTCCAAAGATTAATAACCATACCTTCAATAGATGTTGAACTCATGCCAACAAATAAGTTGATTTTATCACATGAGTTTTATTATCATGTTACGCATTCAAAAAATGAAAACAAATTCATACAATAGATTTAGACTGCCATTTTCTCTCTTATTCATTTGACCTTGTTATATGATGTATTTTTTTATAAAGTACAATTCATATGAATATTTTTCTCTTTAGTCTGTACATTACGATAATGATGGAATGTTTCTTACGTACAAATGGATACCTTTGGTATTCAAATATTGTCAAACTCTTGTTTTTTTTTTTGTCTTGATCGTCACTAAAAAAAATAGATTCCGACATTAGATGTATAGTGTATCAAATATTCAAACAGTACAAGTTCTACTAAAAATAATCATGTAAACGTAAATAATAGTACTACTAAGTAGCTTGTCATAATAAAATATCAATCATGTCTATCAAATGTTGTACAAAATAATACAATAGCTAACAGATTATTTATTATATATTGTACTTATGTTCATTAAATGACATATTTTAATGGTCTACTATGCTATTTTTCAAACAAAAGAGATTGAAACTGATTTTTTTTGTTTTCGTAATTTTAAACCCTAGAAGTTATGCATAAACAACGCTCACCATATATGGCATCGATTTGAATTTGTCACAGTCGGTACAGGTACTGGTCGGTTTACTGATTTCTACTTGATCCTTCTAAAATCCATGTAAGCAAGGAGCTGACGAGTATTCATACTATTCCATGTTGGAATAATGGCATTTGATGTAGTCAAATTTTAGGACAAAGTTTTATTATACCTCCTCTATAAGATAATAAAGCAAAACAATAATTAAAACGCACTGGTAATAATCGGTTGGTAACCGACACTTGTTCCATCTCTGGTGTTCAAGTAAAGGGGAAGCTGTGAGGATGGATGAGAGTGAGTATGACGTAAGAGAAGGCTGATACCTACACCGAGATTCTGACGATTGTTTTGACAAAGTTTTATAAACACAAATTGGCTTTTTTTGGCTGAGATTTATGAAGTAAATAATTTCGTTGTGTTCAATTTTGATTTGAGAATCGATCAAGATTTTGGTCAAAACAAAGAAAACTATATCTTTATAGAAAGATCTTTTGTTTTTCAGATATTGAAACCTTGATATTTGAATGACGTCGATTAAAGAAACATAAACATGAGTAACGCTAAATTAGTTTCTAAGTCAATGAATTGATTCGATTCTATGAGAATGTCTAATTTGAAGAACATAATGTCTTGAAATTCATTTTATTGATTGATGGTTATCGAAATGAAATTCAAATTTACTTATTTAACAAAAACCAGATGATTATTTTCACGATAAAAAAAAATTGAAGAAGCATAAAATCACGAATAAAATGTTCGCTTGATAATCGAAAGCGCAGTTATCATAAACCGTTAGGATAAATGTAATTTTGACATCGGCAAACAAACAGATCGATATTGTATTCAGCGATACTTCGAAAACTTTGAAGTCAGAACAACATGATAATTCTATTTTTTTTACACAGCATGCTGCTTGCTAGAAATCATCAGCCATCCAATTTTTGAGATCTTCGTTCAGAAACAGTTTTCATTTGAAGCCAAGAGAGTAAACGTTCAAGTAGGTTATTTCATGTGTATTATTTACTTAAGTGGATAACTCATAGTATTCTTCTGTGCGATTATTCGAATCTATATTGTGTGTATGTATCATTGTTAATAACACTATTATATACTTCTTTGTACGTGAATAATTCGCCTAATAGTTATGCAACAGCAGTATGTCAAAAAACTCTTGTTCAAGTCTAAATTTCCTTGAAATATTTTTATCATTATAAGTACCAATGTAAATGAGAACGATTTGATTTGAAATTTCAAGTTTTATATTCAGGTGTTTTAGAGTCTCGCTCGTAGTCTACTTTTAAAAATGGTTAATCGGTTCTATTGGTTCTTAATCTTGTAAATTTTGTTATGGCACAATCGACTTTAAGAACTTTCGTATGAAAGTATGATTTAGAATGGGTATGAAGATGTCTGAATAATGTATCTTTTTTTAGGACACACTCGTAGTAGCTAAACGAAGGACAATAAGTTAAAAATGTTTTGTTTTTAAGAAAAAAAAAATTAAATATCAATCATTTGTAGATATTCACAATAAATTAAATCAAATATCTATCTTGCATTTGAAAAGCTATTTTCAGACGAAGTCTTAAAACCAATTTTTATTCTATTCGTATGTACAAGCATGTACTTTTTGTTATGGCTTTGTTTCATCATTGTTATGGCAATCGAATTTCGTTTACTCGTATAGATAATTGTTAGAGGCTACTATGTATGAATGCAATGAGGTATATTATATCTATAAAATACTTTCCTCAGCATGCGATAACCACTAAGTAGAAGACATTTTTGGAACTGAATGTTGTACAGATATAATATTAAATAAGAACTACTTAAAATTTTTTCTCAATGAAATACACGTTCCTTTTTACGATGCTTAATACCTTTTCAATCATCTTTACAATACATAGTAATAATATCGAAAGAAAGAAATAATTGATCATTTTGGATATCCATAAAATGATGAATCTATCTTTGTTTTAATAATAAAAATTTAATTTATTCACACACTAAACCTATTGAGAAATATTTGCCTGCCTAAATTCAAACATTGTTGTCAATAGTTACTATTCGAAAAGTTGATAGTAAAACTTGAAGTATAATACATAGTGATCCAATAGTTATTTTTCCACGAAGAAAAATTACAGGATCATCCGTATACTTTAACAAAATGAACTGATATTTTTGTGTACTCAAACAGTGAATACACTCTAGAATCGGTCAGTATGTCCGTCCGGCCGGCCGGCCATTTACACGATAACTTTCGAAAGGAGAGTCAGATCATGATGAAATTTTCTACACAGTTCAGTCTTAACAATATCTTGGTCGAGTTCGAAGATGAGAAGGATCCGTCACGAAATGGCTGAATTATCGAAAAAATTGTCATTATTGACCAGACCATCCCTGAGGGGGGGGGAGGTACAGGGATTTAAAAAAAATATATTTTTCTCAAAATTATTCACAA